TATATATATATATATATATATATGTATAGCTACAATCGGGTCAAGTCATTTGCTGCTCACTGCTGTGGACAAATACACATGCGAGCGGACACACGCGTCATCTTTCATTCATGTTGTAAAGATTTTCTCACAACCTAGGAATCCTTTCGGAAATACTTTGTACACGGAGAGAATTTTGTTTTAAAATTTACCTCGAAAATATGATAGTTGTGGTACAATATAATATTTTAAGGATTTTTACCATGTGTGTGTACTTCAGTAAAATTAATCAAACTTATTTTATACTTTATTGTAGTTTTATTAATAAATGAGATAGATTTACATTAAAATTCTTGGAAATACAATGCTGCCCCCACAACTATCATATTTTCAGGGTAAACTCTAAGTAAAAATTCTCTCCGTGCATTAAAGTCTACACTAAAAAAAATCTTAATTTCAAAGAAATATTTCTTTATTAGTACTCAAAAAAATTATTTCTTTGGATCAATGAAAATTTCTTTGAAAATATTACAATATCTTATTTTCAATGTATCATATCTTATTTTATCCAAAGAAATAATTTTTTTGAATACGAGCAAAGAAATATTTATTCAAGATTTTTTTTTTCAGTGTATTATTAATTTTTTTCCGCTACGTGAGTGTTTTATAATAAATAAAAATTACGATTTATTTAAATAGTAAATTATATTGTATTTATAAAAAAGCGTATATCACGGCAAATGCAGTTTGAATTACGAATTATTTATGGAATCAAGACCCATGAATAAACGCCAACGATCACAACTGGATCGATACGAAATTGCTCGGAGTAATCAGTTCGGGATATGATTGACTGACTTTGAAATACGTGCGGATATTTATAGAAGGGCATTGGGGATGTGTAATGTCTCGTTTTATGGTTTTACGTTTTTACTTCGATGCGTGCGCGCCCAGTGCCATGAATATTCGTCGAGGCGCTATTGCGACGGATTTTCATTGCGCAATTCGTAATCGTATAAGTTGCATAATTCCCACAATTACAGAATCAATGAAAAGAAATAAATCAGCTACATTATATAGTTCACGTGCTGCACGGAACGTATACAAAGAGATCGATTTGTGTTATACGACGTTTTAGAACTCAATCGTTGATTATTATTAATGACTTTGATTTATTAAAAAAATTATAATAGTTAAACATTTAATTTTCTTAATTTCAATGATAAAAGTCTTGTTATGCTAAATAATTTTCTCGATTCTTCTAAGTAAATAATTTGCTTGACGTAACAGTCGAACGGGAAACAACTTGTTTTCTAGTGTATGTAATGCGGCGTACAATTCGTACGCGTGTCAGTCGAAAGCAATGACGGCGCGGTGCAACGCAATGCTTATGTCATTGTACTGACAATGAAAGTTAGAATCACTGTCTGTAGCGTCCGTGTAATCTTGCTACTTCCACGAAATGAATTATTGAAATACTACGTTGCCTGCATATGCCTCGGTGCATCGCGCCATGGCGTGCCGCGCCACAAAGTGTCTACTTTCTCATTTCGCGCAATTATAAGTAATCCCATTTAACGCGCTCGCTTAAGCGGATCAACTTTATAACGTGTAACAAATGTTGTAAACGATATTTCAGATGATCGTAATTGATATAATAAATTCCGAATTCTGAAGTTCTCAGATATAATTCAAATTGCGACATCTTTCGTAACTTTAACAAATAATCTCTCTAATTATATCTATCTGCTATGTATGTGTCCAGGTTATTAAAATAAGACACATTTAAAAAACTTGCGATTTTCTTTAGCTAGGATATCGTTTCTCTAAATGTAGACTTTGTGAGAAAAGTGCGATGGAGAGAAACAAAATCTTCTTTAAAGGTTTTTTAACTTATAAACTACTTACAACACACAGAATGTAAGTATTAATGCCAACTAAGTTCTCGGAATATCTTTTAAATACTACGCAAGTTTTCTTCGATCATTCGAATTAAACAACCGTTATAGAAATATTCTTCTTTATGGGTTTCGTTAAAATCATGACAATAGCTTCAGTACAAAAAAGGTACAATAAGTCGTTATCTTAGCTATTAAAAGTAGAAAAATACTTCAGCAATTGTTCAACCGATAATTATTTAGTGTCGTAAAATTTGGGATTAAGTAACAACAATCGATATAAATATTTCAATTAAGTAATGTTGAAAATAAGAATATTACTCTAAGTCTGAATCAGTGGATAGTCGCTAATTACCCAGTGGCATACTTTGCACTGATAATCAGTGAAGTTCAACTAAAAAAGGAAGAATGTTTGAGCATTATATAAATAAAATACTGATGTTTGCACGTTATTTTCAATCTTCCAATACCATATTCATTGAATTTGAGCACTAAAAGGTTAGTTAGATCACACAATAAAGATTAGCTAGGTTAGGGATCTCACATTTAATTCACTGATTACCAGTGGCATACTTGGCACTGATATCAGTGATTATTCACTGATTCAGATTTAGAGAGTATAGTTTGATAAAAAAGTACATGATTTTCATTATATTCCCAAATTTTTACATGTCGAGTCAACTGAAAGAAATACGTTACGAGAACCCTGAGTTAAGATATATCGATGTAACGAATGGAAGTGAAAGGACATCGTGATTAATAAAAAGCATGAGTATTTAAATTCACTTCAAAGTTCAGTGTTTCACTTTTTTTTTACACGTTTACTTGCAACTCGAAAGTTGCGTAAATCATTGAAAAAAAAAATCTGATTCGCTCCGGACGATCCCAAGTGTTTTGCTCGAGAAGTCGATGCCCTCAACGAACAAAACGAGCACACCGTTTTTGTTTTTTCCCCGCGATACCGCGCGGTTAATCCTCGCTCATTATATACCCGCGTTGTATATACTACTCTCCTGCAAACTTGATCGAATCGGTCTTCGAACATATCATAGAATATCCGCGTAGCCGCGCGATCGTTTCCACTGCACTGTCAATATTAATCCAATATACGAATGCCAGAAATACTTTGAATAGTAAGAGCTCTACTTGCGATATCTGCAACGAAGAAAACGGATCAAGCAGTTGGCTCGAAACCGGTTGCCAGGAAGTATCGTCGAATAGCAGCGGCAACTACTCGCTCGACAGATCCCCTACTTAAGGATCGCACACAGGAGGCCGTAAGAAACTGCTCGACTATACGAACTCTTAGATAAGCCTTGCAGCGAATACATTTTTTTTGGAATATTTCAATAAATCTATGCTCGCGAAAAATTTTTTCAACTAGAAAAAAAATGAACATTTCCGACACAAAAACGATTTCTAAAACTTGAAAGACACTACACTGTTAGAAATGTTCTTAAATTTCATTAACTTTTAAGTTACATAATTGAATATAATTTGAATTTAATTTCATGACATTACATTAAATTTAATGTATTTGTAACTAAAAAGTATATTTATGCACACGTAGATAAAATTTAATGTATTTTTCATAAATTTAATGTACGCGTTCATTACATTTAAGTAACTACTGTAACTTAATTTTCAGTTAAATCATTCATTACTTTTAATTTCGTTCATAACCACCAGCTTTATTTACATGTAAAGGAAGCTCGTGGTTACATTTCTAACAGTGTACGATTACACGTTTTCCAATCTTATTATTTTTATAACATAAAATAGTATAATGTCACATGTTAATTACATATTTTCGATTTTTGACGCAAAGAGAGCTATTTACTATGAAATATTCCTGTTCTTGTAACATGAGATTTGTAACTTTGAGATTAATGTACTAGAATGTTAATTATTACTTGATACAAAAATTGTACAAAATTGTTAATTGGTTTATGTAATAACAAAATAAATTCAAAATTTCTAAATAAACTTCGCCCTCTGCACCTTGATTAACCGATATATCTCGTTACAATAAATCAAAATCTAGCAGCGAGTCCTCCCAACTGCAGGAAGTGCATTCGAGCAGTACGGATTATGTTCGCGCGCGAGCAGCGTCGATGACATCTGCTACAATCTGTCGGAAACTAAGTCACGTTTGCGTTAATCACGTTGGCACGATCACGGCGTCTCCAATGTCAGAGTCAGGGTTAGTCTTCATTTCCGGAAGTGGGACTCGCGCGCATGGCCTGAGCTGCACGGACCAAATTTATGTACCATCCTCTAATTACCATTGCAGACTGCACGAATAATTGAGTGTCTATTAAATTTGCATATCATAGATATTCTTTTGTACATCTTGCAGACGAATTTTACTTAATAATAATAACAATAATAATAATATAAGCTAATGCAATTTTTTAATAATATTTCTTTAATAAAATATTAATAAAAAATGCAAGGTTTTTATAGTGTTTTTTTTGTTTTCTTATTCTTGTTATTAATATTTTATTAAATACTAATATATATATAAAACCTATATTTACTTATGTTTATTTACCAGTTAATAATTCTATAGCTAAAGTTTCTTAGTAAAGTTATAGAGAATATAAGGAATATACTGAAATTTTCAATGACAATAATTTCTTTCGCTAAAAATGAAATTTTCTATCATTTCAGAATATATTAATTTTGTTGTTCTTATAGTTATAATTAATCTCATTTTTTCCGGCATTGTGACTTAGGCATTAATACAAATTGTGAATACACAAAAGACCAATGAGTCTAAATTAATTTGTTGAGTACCGTAAAAATCATATTACATTTATCGACAAATTACGACTTTTATTCCGTTTCATTTAATTTTGCTGACGTGATACGTTATTTATTATCGCCAATGCTAATCATTTTCGCAATTGAGTTTCAATATCGACCATATTTAATATGTAATAAAAAAAAAGATAAGCACAGATAATGACTTGAAATCGCGTAATATTCTACAGTAGAACTCTTACGGCTATCAACAAACCCTCAAAATCATTATATTAAATGTTTTACGCTTCATTACACCTTGTTGTAACGAGACAAACGTAAGGTAACTACAGTTAGCTCTGTCCTTGAGATTCCTACCTCTGGACCTGCCAAAGGACTTCATGGCCTTGATTCCCATTCCGGCATAAGTGTCGCCGCCGTAATCAACGTACATGAGTGCCGATCTTGTGTAATCACTGCACATGCACGTAGTCCAGAATCATCAGTGTCTCATTCGTCCGTTTTTCTTTTATATTTCACTATCGAACTCGTGTTCTCTCTCGTGCCTTCTCTCTCGATATTTCTCGAGGTGCGGAAATTCGTCGTTCGTAGTGAAATCATCTAAGTCGGAGGTGCACCATCGAAGATGAAAAGTTGGCTCACTCAGTTCCACGTGTATAACATTGAACTTGATCCCGCACAGCGCCGATGATCACATGCCGATCGATTTATCGGAGAGTCCTGATTGTCTATCCCATAATGCACACACGTCCTCTGACGTATAGAGAGGAGAGAATCCTTCCTATCGAAGGATCGTCTGGCGTCATAGACGAATCACTTTGTGATAAATACACTTTTCGTGGCGCAGAGGCAACGCACCGCTACTCGAAACGACAAACGATCGTTCGGTGCCATCGAAATCACCAATTGTTGACACAGCGTCACAGTGTAGCGATGAAATGTAACACAAACCAATCGCTGGCCGCTGACAGTTTCAAGTTGTCAATGGCGGGCTGAACTCGGCGAGGCAGTCACGTTGCGAGGAGATCGAGAGAGGAATCCGGGGGCCTCGACGAGGCGCACCACTGGTCGGGCGGGCTCGGAGCACAGCGTGTCCACCATGTGTTTGCTATCAATTCATAACTGCGACCCACACGGGTTATTTCCGAATACCTGCTTGCGCAACCGCTCGTTGCTCTGGGACCAGTAGGAGGGAGAGGACAGGGGACGGAGAGCGGCGTGGCGAGATAGAACCAACTCCGCGATGGAGGGAGCGAGAGTCCGAAAATATGAAACGTCGCCCGGTCTCCGTCAGAGACGGAAATGCCCTGCTCCGTTTCGCGTTTCCCTCCCCGCCCGCTTTCTTTCGCGTATTCGGGACGTCTTCGTTTGTACCAGGCGCGCCTGGCTGGACACCCTCGATCGCGCTTCACCAAGTCGAGATCGCTACCTGCGATCGCGCGCTACGACGACGATCTCGTAGCGCGGCGGCAGTCGGCACTTGACGACACACTCTCGAGGGAACTCGCACACGCGAGGACGCGAGACCGGAGACGGCGCGCACCGAACGGCGAGAGGCCGAGAGAGCGCACGCACGTATCGGACGCTCCTCGTACTCGAGACGCGAGACTCGAGACTCGGGACCGTGCGTCCGTGCGTCCGTGTGTTGTGTACCGCGCGGCTCGAGGATCGAGGCGATCCGCCGCCCCGGCTACGAAACGATCTTTCCTTCGGCGCCACCGGAGTTCGAGTTCGTTAAGCCGAAGCGCCACTGTCGGGCACGTATACGACCGTGTTCCGCAGGTAAGTGCGTACACGTCGGGAGAAAGAGAGAGCTAGAACGAGAGAGGGAGAATGAAAAACGAGGGGCAGAAACTCCAAAGAAGAAGAAGAAGAAGAAGAAGAGGCAGAGGAGAGTAAAGTTGCAGGAGGAAAGTAGAAGACCCGAAGCGGGAAGGGAAGTGGAGAGCAAGAGAAGGGGGATCGAGCGTCGTGGAGAACTTCTCTCTCTCTCTCTCTCTCGGAGAAGGGAAGTGGATGCGTCTCCGATCGCGTCTTACGTATTCACGAGGCCAGCCAAGATTTCACGGGCGTCGACGGTCCAGCGAAGGGGGGAGAGGGCGACGTCAGTAGTACCGATCAAGATTCGTTTCACACGACTCACTCAGGTGAACACGCGAGTTTTGCGGGGAACCGTATTCGGGGGGGAGCCGCAAAACGATGCGGTAAAACGCGGGTAAAGCGTCGAAGACGCTTTCTTCGCACGCTACGAGGAACCGAGTTACGGGAGGGGAAGAGAGGGAGACGAACAAGAGTAAGACGATCGGCGAGTCGCCGGTTCCCTTCATCGTGACTCCGGTGTCACGGTTGGCTAAGTCGCATGACAGTCGCGTTATGTGTATGTGACGTGCGCTCGCGTGGATATCAAGAGGGGGAGCGAGGCGTAAGAACGAAAGAAGATGAAGACGCGCGAAGGAGGTGGACGGCGAGGGACTTTGGTTTATTATAGGGGAAGTATGCCGTAGATAGCAACTCCGGAGACTGAGAGAGAAAGAAGGAGAAAGAGAGGTAATATACAGGGTTCGGTAGCGGGGAGGAAAAGAAGATCGAGTCCGAATTATGCGAAAAGAGACGTAGGAGATTCTTAATATACGTAGGCCAGAAGACACGTAAGAGTAGCGATATTTTCAGCTGAATGGAACCGAGGGGTAAGGAAAAACGTTAAGCAAACGCGAATATAGAATGCGATCCGAAAATACGACTAACCGAGCTGTTTTGCGGAGGTAAAAACGTAAAATCATGACGAAAAGAGTAACGCGAGCGGCGTGGGTCATCCGTGAAGAAGATACCCAGGTGGAATTAACGGAGCGATGGAGACAGAAGGAAAAAAGAGAGGGAGGGATCGAGAGGGAGAGAGAGAAAAGTTGAAACGTACGCGCGAGGGAGCACGAGACGGGAAGAACGAGCGAGATCGACGACGGAACTGGAAGGGACGTGCGAGAGGGAGACGAAAAACACTTGACTCCCCACCAACGCTACGATCGCACGACGCGACAGCGGAGTGGCGCGGCGCAGGCCAGCAGGCCTCCTAGCCCTCACTCTTCTCGCTCTGAGTTTTATGAATGAATACTCTCCCGTCACACGCGGCGCGGACTAACACTGGCGTCGACGCTCACGCTATGAACGCGCGCGCGCGCGCTGTCCCTCGCTCGCTATCTTTCTCTCTTCCTCTGTCGCTCTTCCTCCCTCTCCCGATCTGTCTCTCTCACTCCTCTTCTCTCTGTTTCAACCGGCCGTGCCGCGCGCGTAAAATCAAGGCGTCCGGGTGCGCTAGGCGACGTGCACGTACAGTACACACTCGACGCGGAGTCCGCGCGACGAGGAGTAAATACCAAGTTGGCTAATACACGGGCGCGCAAGTCCGCCGCTGTCCGTTCTTTCCTTCATTCGGTTTGCCGGTTCGTTCATTCATGCCCGAGCCGCACGCTTTAACTGGTAGCTCACCTCGACCGTCCCGAGAGGCTCCCTCCTCCTCCTCCTCCTCCTTCTCCTCTTTCATCTCCTTCTCTTTCCTCTCTTCCTCACTCAGATCAGATCTCTTTTCCGCCGCTCGCCGCCACCGTCGTCGTCGTCGTCGTCTTCGTCGTCGTCGTCGTCGTCGTCGTGACGTTGACGTCACGCTAGATGAAGAAACGAGTCGGCACTTTCCTAGAATGACTGCAGTTCCTTGCGTGACCTTCTTTCAGCTAGCAGGGTGGACTATCTTTCCGAGCACGGTGGCCTTCGCTGCTTATATACGCCAACACGAAGGGCATATATGGATCGCAATATAATTTCTGATATATCTCGCTCGGGCAAAACTCGAAAATGTACATTTTTTTCTCCCTGGGTATTACTCAATTGCAAATTGTTTTATAAACGTTTACTTTAATCAAATAATCATCAATATCGATAAGAGCACTCCGATCTAATTATTAACATATATGACTCAATGGATAAGTTTATTTCAACGCAGCGATATTGACGCATCACTAAATCGAGCTTGACTGCCAAATAATCAAGTATAGTAGAACTCATTTGTCTGCACTCCATTTATACAAACAAGCTCATGCTGTCTTAAATATCCGAACGGCGCCGTAGTTTGAACAATAGAAGCTCGACGTGCTTGATTTTAGTTTTCTGAACGTCAGCTCCTATTATCGGAAATAATAAGTGCTGGTAGAAAGTAATGTTAATAAATCTCTATCTAAATCATTCGATTATTAAAACCGTGTTCTTAAAACTTGTTCCTCGACATAATCGGATAAATAGAGTTCTACTGTAATTCGTTCTATAAATGGCTTTATTTTGAAATTATTAAAAATAGATATATATATATATATATATATAATATTTTCTGTTTTAAAAATATACCTATTCGTATAAAAAAGATTTCACGCTAGTCATTGGAGGAAGAATATTAAAATAATAAAATGATAATGAAATGTTTTCATAGGTAAATTATTAGGTAGGTTCCAATACTGGTGTATACTATGGAAGATACGAATATTGAGGTTATTCTCATAAGTAATATATGCCAATAAAATTTACATAAATTATTTCTGGAATGACTCGTTTAATTATACTGTCTACGCAAATACATAAACGAGAATAACCCTTCAATCAATATCGCATGATAACGATCGTGCTTAATGACACCAGCACATAACAAAGGCAAATGACGGTCGAACGGTAAAGTTTTTAACGAGGCGATAGAAACGCGGATGTCGCGAGGCACTTTTACAGCTTCTTCATTGGCGGAATAATCGACAATAAAAAGGCGGCGTAATTATACGTTACTAAAGCAAACACGGTTTTAGTGACTTTCCTACGGTCGCACGGCGAATCGCGGGCTCGCGGAGGATGTCGTGCGTGTGATTGATGAAAAACTTGTCGCCTGCGGGCGTAAAGGCTAAAAATTTCCTTTGCGCGACTAGCAACTTCCGGCACGTCCGCAGGACCATTCATAAACTCGCCCCGGTACCGTCAATCGCGATGAGACATTCACTCCTCTCTCGACACCCATTCCAGCGGCTACCACTCGCGATTCCGAGAGCTATATTTTACGCCGCTTCTCGTACGTGTAACTGTACGATGTACGAACGCGACGTGACTGCGTCTTCCCATCTTCCTTCCTCTCTGTGGGGCGTTTTCTCTTTCTCTCTCGCTTGCAACAGGTTACGCTGCATTCGTTTCGATAGATTAACTGGGAAACGAATTACCGAGAGACAATTTGGCAAGACACAGAGTACACCATGGCGAGCTTGATTCTAATCTTGATTTCTAACAGATGTTCGCCTTATTATTGGCCCCGGATAGATTTCGATAAAATCTTTCAGCGATTTAAACTATAATTAAATCACTTAAAAGCGCTTCATCACAGAAATCTTGAAAGTCATTCATTTAACTTCCAAGAAAGATACATATCTGTATATAAACAGAATTCTATTTCAAAGTGATGTAAGAATAGCAACAAAAGGAATAATAAAATACCTTTCTATAATATTCATATTAATATTACTGAATGTTATTTTATAATTCTAAAAAACTAAAAACTTTGAAGGTATTAACATAAGATCCTTTTATTGACGACAAACGTGTTATTGCATTGAGATATTTAAAAGAAAGGTATTCGATTTACTTCTTACTAATTCAAAGATTTGCTTTAGATGTGATTAATAATAATATAATTACGATACTCGCGGTGCTCGTTTGTGTTAGACAGCTGAACTTTAATGAATCAACTCCGACCGCTGGAAATACACATCGCGTGGTGTACGATGCAGCTGTGCGGTTGTGGCGCTAATTAATAATTACATGAGGCGCGTTGTCGAACCTCATTCACAAGTCCGGCAAAGGCGAGGTAAGTAGCGTGGTCGCGCGCTAAGAAACCCGGAAGTCGCGCCGCGAGAAAATTATTATCGTCGATTAGCGTCGCGGAAATTGATAAAGCGCGTTACATCATTGCAGGTAGGCCAGGTAGGAAGGGGTTAGGGAACGATAGCCGGGGAAATAATAACAATACCCGACGTTGTGGGAAGCGGTAGAAAAACGTGACGGACAGCCGTGATGAGCCGGAGGATGCGTCGCCCCGGGTGTCAGGGAAGAAGAAAAGGGGAAGAAACGACGACGGTACAGTGATAGATAACGGCTCGAGGATAAGAGGGAAGGTTGTACGCTGCCGAAGGGGGCGGGTTGTCCCGGTGTACAGAACGGAGGGAGATCGGGAGAGAAGGACGGAAAAGGATGACCGCAGGAAGGAAGTTGGCCTGGCCCCGGTGTGCAGGTTGTTGTCTGGTAACACCTACGGTGATCAAAGAGGTGGGAAGGAGGAAGAGAGGAGGCGCAATAGGACGAAAAGGAAGAAAGATGCACAGCGCAGGCCGAGGAAGAGAGGATGCAGGAACAAAAGAAACGCGAATAGATAGCGATAGAGAGCGCCGAGCAGAAGCTGGCCGCTGCTGGACGCGCCGCTCGGCGCGGTATATACTTGCCGAAGGCTGAGCAGGTTTTTGCCACATTTTTTGCGGCGCTTATTATAACTAGGAAGCTGATGTGCTCTCTCTCCCTGAAGCCCTACCTCGTAATCTCGGCGATCGGAGTGTGTTCGCCTGCGCTGTGCGCGCAGTCAGGTATACACACGTACGTGCGAGAAGTGTGCGTGTGGAACGTTTATCGGAGCGTACACTCATCGTTCGAAACGGCGAGATGTAGCTGAGAAACAGAGAGAGAAAGAGAGAGAGAAGTGGGATGGAGAGCGTGAGAACGCGTAAACTTGTAAGATACGAAAGAGCGTAGAGAAAGGAGATATATCGTCGTGCTCCTTTCCACGGTGTTGGAAAAGGTGGTGATGGTGTTGGTGGTGGTGGTAGTGGTTGGAACTGGGTGCTCGTATACTTCAGAAAGACACACGCGTCAACGTCATTTCCTTTACACGGCGAGTGTCTCTCTCTCTCTCTCTCTCTCTCTCTCTCCCTCTCTTTTTCCTTCTCTTCTGCCGCGTCGGCTCTTCTCTCATGTCCTTTTTCGCCTCGGACATATTCGAAGAGAAAATAATGCGCTACAAAGTCAGGACGCTCGCTCGCTTGCTTGCCGGTAGTTGTGAATTTATCCAACGCTTGTTAGTAAAGAGAGCGAAGAAGTAATTAAACGAACAGAGTTTAGCCTTCTGTTACGGAGCAACGACTTTACATAAGATACGTGATGGGATTATAGGTAGAGTGTAAGATATGATAGAGTGGGTAAATACAGTACGCTATTGATCTTTCTCTTGGCATACATGGCACGTTTGACAGACATCATTTCTTATAGATGTTAACAAATTCTTGGATCCAATAAGTTTCGTAAGAAGGAAATATTTTCAATGAAATCTTATAGAACGGTATTTATGAAGCCATCGAACGTCAAATGCTTTGTGATCTATAAACACTTAACTAAAATGTCAACTATTTAACTTTCCCAATTTTAACAATTAGATATAATGATATATTTACACCTCACTTTTATCGGTAAATGCATTTATTTCTGAGATTATATAATATATGTAATGTAAACTATACGCTAAATGCGCACATTTATCGACAAAAGGAAGTGTAAACGTATCTTGATATCTAACCGCTATTAAAAAAGGAATTGTGATGTACCAATTTTTCCTATAGAAGTGATATGGACCTTAATTATGTTTAATTGCTTTTAAAAAGAAATTGTGGGGTCTCGATTTCTTAAAACTTCCCATTAAAAACGAAAGAGATCATATTAAATGGTTTCACCGTATTAATTTAACAGCAAAGATAGGGACTTCCGATCACACAAAACTCGCGAGATACCATAATATGCCACTTCCTCCCGCGTTTACGCAGGAAGACGAGAGCACGCACGACAGAGCGATTCCTCACTTCACCTCGTAGTCCTCGCGTGCAAGGAGGATTGCGAGTACGAGCAAGAGCTACCACCACCATCCCCTTCGTCTCTTCGTATCTCCGTCCTCTCTGACCAATCGAGTTCACCTGGGCCACGTTACGGTCATTCGACTTCCGGTAACCCGGGCGGGCTACGCGTATGGCT